TGTTTCTTATAAGAGGAATTAGCCGAGTTTGTTTATAAAAAAACTGTGGATTTCTTGTAACATTTTATAAAAGACGTCCTCATAGGCACACCAACCCAGAGTTTTCTTACATCTTACAAAAGGGTTATTACACTCTTGTTAGAAGTTATAAAAGGGTAATACAATTTTATAAATATGTAATAACGTGGTCGACCTTAGAAACAACATAGGTTGCTGTCGCCCCTCTCCTTATAAGTACTCCATAGCCTAGTGGTTAAGGATGGCGTCCAGCAACACAAAGGTCCGAGGTTCGAATCCAGGTAGAATAAAGGTAAAAAGTTGAATTAAAGTGCGGAAAGGAGGGGTTCGGGTCCAACGGGGAATGGAGAGAAAGGTACAACCGGGCGTTTCGTTTTGTTTTTAACTTTTACAGTGACTTATAAAGCTAATTACTATCTTATAAAATCTTTATAACATCAGAGGTTATAACATTCTTATAACTGGGTTATAACTTACTTATAACTAGGTTATAACCTAGTTATAAATGGCTTATAAGTGGCTTATAACAATGTTATAAAACGTTATAAGAGAATTCTTATAAAAAGCTGATAAGAATTTAAAAAAAATTAATTACGTAATAATTAAGTTTTATAAAAGCGACTTTACGAGCGGCTTTGTTTGCGTGTCCCGGAGGTGAGCGGTTTTGTTTGAGGGTTGCAGAGGTAAGCGGGTTTGTTTCCAGTCCGCAGAGGACGGCGGTTGTTCTTCTCAGGTGTCGACATTTTATCGTGCACGGAGACTGACTCACATTTCGTTTATCATGGCAGTCATCCCACTCCTTCCACTCCTCAATCGCCGAGCGGGCCTCGTTGTCGGTCGTGCTGGTGGAGCTGGTCTCTGCGCTGCTGTACTCGATCGCCACAACCAGGGCTAGCGGTACGAGCACCAGCGCGTTGAGCGACATCTTGGTCAAGTGGAGGTACACAGAGGGCGACTACCGAAACGAGCCTTGACGCTGACGCTGGACTCAAGTCTCTCTCGGTCCAGACTGCAAATGCCGTCACGCCTGCTCCTGCCTGCTAGCAACCGACGACTGCCGCTGTTCTGTTGCTCTTCGAGCGGCTTGATAAGGAACCCAGTGATGTACTGTGCGCAGACCGGAGGACGTCGAGGACGTGGTCTTCGTCATCGCCGCTCGAAACGGAAGTGATATCGCCGATGTTCGGTTTTCATCCGTCGCTCGCTGACGGCTCTTCCACTCGACCCGCATCTGTTCGTTGTCGCAGAGGTCCTGCAGAGCGATAGGGGGCCCACCGCGTGGATCCAAAAGACTGTGACGGATATATGTGATAGAGCAGCAGGTTAGGGAAATATACGACGCGTCTTGACTCATCTATTAAAACTGTTTATTCGAAACGATTTGAGCTAAACAAGTCACAACGGTGTAGTTTACAGTAATGTCCAAAACCATCATAACAAACAATAAAGTTGGAGTGCATCACTATTTTCTTATCTCCAGAGTCGGTGGCGCTTGGCGGGCCAGTGCTCCGTCCCGCGCACTTGCTCCTGCACATCTCCATCTCCAGGAAGCAGGTGTTGGCCTGCTGGCGTCCATTCCTCCTGTACACCCTATCCAAGGCTGGCTGGAATCTGACGTCCTCCCCAGCGCCAGACTCGCCAACCGCTGGCTGCACTGCACGGGCTCATTGTTTCACGCCTTACTGTGGAGGGTATCCGGTATTTGTCGCAAGAAGAAGTGCGTAAGCTACGCGGTTCCGCCGTCCAAATGGATGCAGGTTCCAATCTACACGACCTAAGTTGTTTCGGAAAGAACACCCTTTTTGTGCGGTGTCCTCTTCATTCTGATACAACTTTAAAAAAAAAGTAAATTCAATTTTAAACGTCGGCTATAGGCTCTCGTGCTCTCGTGATTTTTTATTCAATTTTTTAGCAGATGGTACGTTAAAAACCTTTTGCGACTGAACATAAGGAATATATAAGTAACTGTAAGGTGTCATCTAGCTTTTACTCTCGATAAGTACAGAGAATCAAGCGCAGACCAGAAAACAATTTCTTTGGCGCTGGGGGACCGAGTGAGTGACTGTGCACAGTCCCCGTCCCTGCTCAACAATACTGGCCCACTGGCCGTTCTGCCCGCGGCTGCCCGCCCCTTGTCTCCTCCTCTACGCTGCTAGTACGCCGAGAAGATTGTAAGTAACAAGCAGCCACAAACAAACGACGGCTACATATAGATAGGAAAATGAGAAAACAGATACAATACCTACTGTTAAATTTTTATCATCTGCTTTCAAGATCGATTCTTGACTGAGATTTTTTCCTCCGACTTCTTTTTACTTCATATAGTGCACGCGCGCAACGCGATAGCGAATGACGCAGCCGGGTGTGTGGCGGGGCGGGGCGGGGCCCTTGCGGTGTGTCGACTGCTGCTGCGATCAGCCACTCCATCGCCATCCATCAATTGCAGAGATTGAAACCGCGGTGGCGTGCGCGTGTCGGGGGCTTGCCTTTCCGGTTGCCTTGACTTTGCCTTTTCGACTTGCCTCTCGGGGGGGAGGGGTTGACAGCTGTGGAAAGGATGGGGGTAGGGCCGCCGAGAGAGG